AGCTCAAAGTCGCTGTTTCGTATGGTGAGTGTAGACTGTAGAGAACAGGATACCCTTTTTACTGGAAATCAGACATTTCATCTTAGTCCTCAGGGGTGGCAACACATCTGCATTTTGATTCTTAATCGAGGATAGATGTAGATGTCCACAGCATCCATTTACTATCATGTGGGCTGTGTGCTCGCTTGTCACCCTTATTCTATAAAAGAACCACAGTGGATTAACTTGAGGGACCATATGATTTTTTTGTATATATTTTACGTTATATCTTCGTCAGTTGTAAACTGATTTTAATGCTTTTTTATCTACAGACTTCAAAAAGGAGACGGTACTCAATTCGACTGTATGTTTTTTTTATGTGTGTTACCTGATTACTTTTTACTGGGTGAACCGATTTCGATGATTCTTTTTTTATTTGAAAGCTGGTGCTTTACATGTAGTCCCATATGAATTTGATCAAGGTCTGACCAATAGTTTTTGAGTTATTCTTAATAATTTATATTGAAGTCGGTTGTACAAAATTTTTAATTTTTAATTATTTAATTGTTTATACTTCAGGGGTGGTCTCATATAATTTAGTAGACAAAATTCCACTACTAAGGCTGGCATAGTAGTGGATTGGGATGATTCTTTTTAATCTAACCAGACGACTTTGAGATTTTAATATACCGTAGTCCACTCAAAAGCAAAATAATAACTTTTAATAAAAAGTCGGCTTTTAATTTTTATTAAATGTTATTTTTACAGTTTTCTATTACCGTTAAATATTGAACAAATTCAATTTGGCTCAGCTTACAGTCATTTTGCTTATGGTACTTTTATTAGACTCTAGAAGCGAAATAGGATTTAGCTTTCAATGTCACTACTAATACCACAGTTTAATAAGGTCTTTAAACTGCACTAACACTGAGACGAATAGAAGTAGACACTATTATCCGTACGTAGTATACAACTTAGGACTTATTCAATAAAAATCTCAATTAAAACATTTACTTACGGATAAGCAATGATATTATAAAACTCTTTTTTATATATAATACCATACAGTAACAATTACGGCGTCACTGTTACGCCAATGAGGGCTAATAAACTTACGCTCACCAGATGTCGCTGATTGAGATCGAGGTGAAGTTTTTTGTTACACAATGTAATTTAATTGAGAAGTTAGTTTTAAATAAATAAATTATCCCTCCAAGAAATTTGTCAAATATTTCACCTCATTTCTAAGTGACGCCGCTCTGGTGGCAGAAAAAGTCGTGTATATCATTTCGGTCATTATCGCTCGGCAAATCTCAATAGTCGTTCTTTCCCATCGGAACAAAACAGTTGAATTCGATTTGAAACTACGGACATCGCAGTTCTAGTGGGTCAAATTCACGCGCGGGAAGGCGCACCATCTTTGCATTCTGGATATACGGATAATGCATTTGCTAGAAATTGAAAAGAGTAGAATAGAATAAAATTAAATATTTTTTATTTGATATAGACTATAACACAATACTTATTGAAAATCATTTTTTAACCACTGGTTCACAAAACACCTCTGTTTTGGGAAGATCCATTAAGAAAGGTTCCTTAGGATTTTCTAGACATAATATATAATATACAATAATTTAGTACAATTGTTTTTATGAATTATAATTGAACAAGCATGGTAGCGATCATTTTATTCCCAGGGGTTATTTTTCCCCATGTATTCCTTAACGTTATAATAACTATTTTTATACAGTTTTTTAATCTAATTAATTGATAAATTTTGACAAAAAAATGCTTTTATAACGAATTTATTTTTTCTAAATATTGAAAGGCCAAACGAACTTCCACTTCACCAGATGGTAAGTGGCTGCTGCAGCACTTGGACACCTGCAACCGAATTCAAACAAAGAAGTCTACAGATGTTGCGTTGCCACCTCAGAAGACTAACATGGAATACCTCACAGCCTGCAATGAGGGCTAATCCACAACTTTTCTGCCACCAGGGCGGCGCCACTTTACAATGAGGTAAATCATTTGACAGATTTCATAGCGTGGAAGATAATTTCTTACAAAAGTGTAAAGGTTAATATTTCTTTCTGTATTATTAGTTATATTTTATATTAATTAGATTAAAAATAAATAAACCAAACCATATATATGACTAAAAGTTAAAAAAAAACCGAGGTATAAAGTACAAAAAATTAAAGATCAAATCACTGACTCATTATGTTGTGTATTAATATAACATTCAAGAAACTAATAAACTTTTATTTAAAACTAATTCTCAATTATCTGCCATTGTGTAACAGAAAACTTTACCTCAGTCACAACTAGCGACATCTAGTGAGTGGACGATTATTAGCCCTCATTATACTAGCTAAATATACATTTGAGAGCGAGACACAACAGTGCACGCACTTCTCTTTGACGCCAGAAATAGGTAAGAGCGTGGTACTAAACTAAACGTTATCCTAGACAGAATAGGAACCATACCACGTTAAAACTTTCATTGTCCCATGTTCAAACACATTCGTAAGACAATAGCAATGGACCATATGTGGGTCATGAGATAGGGAATGGGTTAAAATGAAGAAAATATTCAAAGATTAAGTTTTCATTGTAATATGGTCACCCTATTCACGAGTAATGACAGTATCACGTCAAAATTGATGGCGTTTTTCGGAAAGTCGATTTGGAAGATTACCGAGTTTGTCAATGTGGTTTTAGTCACGGAATTGGGTCGATTTGACCCTCACTGAGACTCACAGCTTATAAGAGAGTTAGGGCTTTTTGGTGAAATCCACTGACTTCTGTTTGACTTTTTTTAACATTGTTTATTCGTAGTGTGCGATTTTATGTACATAAGCAAAAAATATACGCAAATATACTCAGACGTATACCTACTAATAACAATATAATCATTTGTATTCAATATAGATTAGATTACATGTAATTCTTATTGAAAGTCATTTTCTGCTTTTACCACTGGATCCCAAGGTTTTTGGAAGCTAAATTTTTCTCGATACTAAAATTTGACATAACTTAAAATTTATATACATAAAAGGTAAACTAAACAATTTAGTAACGCCGGTTTATATAAATAAATTAAGAGTCATAACAACACAATTAAATTTCTCTAATGTTCGCTCGGGCCTAGACATAGGCTTTAATTGTCTTCAATTTACTTCATTTAACGTTATTATTAACCGTGTAGCAGCGGTGTAAAATAACCACTACCCCATATCGTCCCGTGGGTGGCGTAAGACGCGACAGAGGGAAACTGAAACAGAATATGGGAAGCAGCATCTTACTGATAACAATTTAAGGCGACACCGCGAAAAAATGCACCTCCTTTCATCACATAGTATAGGAGTATGACACGACTAAAGAAAGTGGAATTTTGATACAGGTAAATTCATGTCTTTATCTTGTATTTGCTTGCTCAAAAACACGATTGTTAAATTTTGACTCGATCATAATTCTTTGCGAAAACGACTCTAAAAAATCACTATAGTTGAAAATACAACGAAATTACTTAATCTATATGCTTGGGAACCACTCAAATACATTCATAACATCAATATTCGTAATTTACTTGCTCGTTATTTTGATTGCTAAAATCAATACTTTTTTAAAAATATTTTAAGATTCTACGCGCTTTCTAAGCGGTTTTAATAGTCGTGGGCGCTACGCAATTTTAGACCTTATGACGGCGTTTTTGAAGTTTTTTAGGAATTATGTTTTACTCTGGTTAGTCCGGCGATAGCCCGCTTCAACGGTTTTCGATGTGTCGCCTTAAATGGTAAGGTGAGGTGGTTATGGTGATATTTCGCCTATTAGCCAATCTGGGTAGAGGCTTATGGTTCAGCAATGACTTAATATGGATAGATGAATGGATTTAACGTTCTTGCCACTGTGGCATAGTAAATGACGTTGCACGTGGCTCCGACTATATTTTCACGTTGTGTAACACAAAAAATTATTCAAAAACAATGAAGCCGACTGCAGTCATTTAATTTGTTTGCATTACAGGCTCCGCTAATTTCTAAGAGGGCAATGGATTAATTACTGGTTCGCTGCGCTTCTCCAGGCTGTGCTGGTAAAATTTTAACGAAAACGTTCTATTTCTTAGATATGCAGGTAATCACGATAGTTTCCTTCACCGCGGAGCTGATTTTACGTGTAAGAGCCACCACGAATCCAATACCTTAATATGTAGAATGAAGTTTAACTAAGCAAGAATTCATGAAGATATAAACCCTAGCAAAGTCGATACAGAACGCATGATAAATGAAAGTTAAGTCTTATATAGAAGAAATTCACATATTTTTTAAAATCTGGGAACCTTAATAACACACATCTTGCTACCACACCATATAAAATGAACTTATATGTTCCTCTGTTGCACTTCGTTCATGACATGTTTTAGATCTACGCATATTTCTAGAATCATCTAAAATTTCAGGGAACCAGCAGCAGCAGGGTTTAAATCAAACTAGTTTTTAAGGATTTCATCGCGTAGATTAACTTATTTTATAATCAGACTCCTGTGAACACGTACAGGATAGCCCCCGCCACTACATCACATTTAATAGACCACAAATCCCCGTAAATACGAGTAACACCAATTCCTCCCAGGGATAATTCGCGAAGCTATTGAAATCAAAAAACATCCTTATTTGAATAGAGAAGATGGTTGGGTGTTATCATCTGATTGGGATCCTGTAATTAATAAAATTAAATCTGAACCCAAGTATACAACTGCAAGACTTCAACTACTGCGTAGATCGGATGAAAAATTTATAATTTTAAACTGAAGGAAGCCGTGGTTAACTATGACACTGGGACGTCGAACACCTCAGTCCCCTTATTACCTCGCTGTAAAGTGCTCGAAACGGCGGGAATATGAAATAAGTTAATATACGCAATGAAATTCGTAGAAACTAGTTTTATTTAAATGTGTAGTGTTCAGGTAAACATAAGAAATGAATAACCAGCATCAGTATAGAAAATAAAATACTGACCTTAGTAGCTTGACGTCCCACAGAGCGAGCACCTCCGGTGGCCTAGCGACGCAGAGCGCCAGTCGAGGACCGCAAGCGTGGAGTCGCACGGGACCCGGTCGGGCTCCGCTGGCGGCCGGCGCCGAGACTATCACAGCTGCGAACTCCTTGCTGCTGCCGAGGTTGTGTTGCACCTGGGAACGAACACGGGCCGTTTGTCAAAGGTAATTTGATTTTTTTAAATAATAGAATATAAGCAAATAGCATATAAAATGTATACGAGTACGTAGGTATATGGACGTAAAGGAGGCGAGAGAGATGTTTCAGGATCATGCCATATGGAAGTTCGTAGTCTTTGCCTACCCCTCTGGTTGACGGGCGTGAGTATTTATGTGTGTATGTATGCATATAAAATATACAATTTTATTTGGGTATATATAGATATATGACTAGGGCAGTGCTTAAGCATTTGGCTGCGGTGTTCCAGAAGCGTGGGTTCGAATCTCACACAGAACTGGTGTTTGTATGGATTACCAGTAATTTTTTGGATCTGGATATTTGTCCTTGTGCAATTTATAAATGGGGGGGGGGGGTGGATGTGTTACGTTTATCAAAAGAAAGATTATCTTTACCAATCGTACCTTAACTCTCCACTGAATGAGAATCTCCCTGGTATCGAACGCCAACACCGGCACCACGTCCTCGCACAATATCGCAAGGGTGTTCGACTCCTTGTCCAACGTGAATCCGGACTCGAACCCGAGATACTGCTGCAGGGAGAGCGATGCCTTCGTCTGACCGTTCTTCTGTCGCTCCTTAAGGTCTTTGTACAGTTGTAAGTGGACGCAATCTGCGAAAGAAAAGATTGAGTGTTAGATTTGGTTTATAACTAGGAATCCTATAACTATATAGGTATAGTAGGAATCCTATACCTATATAGGTATAGATTCTATACAACTAGGAATCCGCTCCAGCTTCGCTTGGATTGGATCTATTAATGTGGCGTTATTCAGATTTAATCAAAGACCATTTATTTTATTAATTTTTTGTTTGAAAATAATCTTCAAAGATTTCGAATAAAATATAACCTAGATGCCTCCTGACACTGATCTCTATCTGTTCGTAAAGTTTCATTACAAACGGTTCAGCCATTTCAAAGTATTAACCAGGACAGACAGACACACAGACAAAGTTTTTAAAAATGTTTATTTATGTCTTAATAGCATGCAAGTAACCCTCAAAGCTTAATAGACGCTCAAAAAATTTCATCAAAATCTATTGAGCCGTTTTTTTATAGGATAAGTGTGACAAGCGAGCGCACAGTCTCCACCTGATGGTAAATGGTTGCTGTGACTCATAGATATCTACATCTAACCTAGTAAAAAGAATCTCCGGTTCTCTACACTCACCATACGAAACACGGCAGCATTAACCTGCTATTTAACGCTGGTATTCTGTGAGAGCGTGGTCCTTACCCGGTTGAGCAGACCTATTCGTGCTAAAACTATACACTTAATATAGCTGCAATATGGCTCTACCACGTAAAAGTTACTGCCACGAGTTTTAGCGAGACTGACGGACAGCAATTGATTTTTATATACAGAGATAAAAAGTAATAACAGTCTACAAAGGTCTCAATGCTGGGTACAGACATTTCTGAAATGGTGACGGAGTAAGAAAGACTGCTGTGCTGCTGTAGTACGTGTTGGCGGACTTCATAATATTCATAATATTTTTTATTTAGAAAACATGCAGATCATGAGATTCGAACCTTGGACCCTTGCCATAACAAACAGTGAATCTGTTCGCTATGTAAAAAAATTAAGATAGTTTAGAAAATAAAAATAATTTTTAATCATTTTATGTCATAAAATACGTTTGAAGTTTTTGAGTTTTATTCAGTAAAATAATGTTTCGAAGACATGTGAACTTTGCCAAAACGCATTGGGGCAGCGCGGCTGACGTGACGGGCAGGCCTGTGCCCAGCAGTGGGATGTACATATGCTGAAATTTTACTTTGACTGCTTTCAAAAAATACGTTTTTTTGTTTCTTACGTACTTTCGAAATGTTTTAGGTAAATATATAGGTAATATTTTAGGTTAGTACACAAAATGCTTGTAAAATTAAGATAGGAAACAGAGGCAGACGGAACAAGTACGAGAGTAAGCCTGCTTTGCGCCACACGACACCGTACCGTCCCGTAATGAGGCAAGCCTCGCTGGAAGTAACGATCGACTGAGGAATGTTAGGACAACTACACACTGGACCGAAAGTGGTGCCACCTACTTACGTGGTATAGGCAAGCTGCAGCTGTATGAGGGGGAATACCCAAGCATTTCACAGAAAACGCATAAAACAAAAAATGGCAGAATATGCTATATTATAGATATTATAGTGAGAGAGACCCTTTAAGTGGCAATTAGGTATTCCATTTTAATCAGGGTTCCAACGCGTCTGCACTTTGATACTTAATCGAGGTTAAATGTCGGTGTCTATGGGCCACAGCTTCCATTAAACTTGACGGCTTGCTAGCGCAGTGGCTAAATGTTTGGCTACGATGTTGTGGAACTAGGATCGAAGACACACTTTCAAATTAATTGTAGTATCAAAAATTTTAAATTTCATATTTTGTTAATTAAAATCATTAAATAAAACTATTTTTATGGATTTTACCGCGTTTGATAATGTTTTTATTTTTATTTTTAATTCCCGACATTTCGGGTGCTTTCCAGCACCCATGATCACTGGGGACTGAGGTGATTGACGTCCTAAGAGTAACCTGGAGTATCTTCAGCTTTTTTAATTATTAGTTTTGGTCCGATCTACGCATAATGAACTTACTGTGTCTTGAAGGCTTGCAGTGGTATGATTGGGTTTAGTGTTAATTTTATTAATTACAGGATCCCAAGGAGGTGGTAGTACCCAGCCTCCATCTCTATTGAAATCAGGATTTTTTTTTAATTTCAATAGCCTCACGTATCATCCTTGGCAGGAATCGATGTCCTTTCGCGAGAATTTGTGGTCTATCAAATTTAATGTAACGGCAGGGGCCGTCTAAGATATGATCACAAACTGCAGACTTCCCGGAGCTTGGTGTTTCACGTCAGCTACGACTATATGTTCTTTTACGCGGCTTTTATAGAGCGTTGTTCGCCCTATATATGAGAGACCACATTCACGTAAATATTATAAATTCGTAAAAGTAGTTTTATTCAATGTGTAGTGTTCGCGTAAATATAAGAAATCATTATAAAACCATTAACATCAGTGCTTTTACTGCTCTACAAGATCAATGCGTCAACATATAGCTACAGATATATCACAGCAGTCGGTGACGCGTACTTATAAGGTTAAACCCATCCACAAATGGACCAACGTGCCTTAAGAAGTTGTTACTTCAAAAATCGAAGACGTATGAAGTCAACTAAAATGCTTTGACAAGAAAGAGTTTGTAATCGGACGGAAAGAAAGACGCCGGCATATTATTACACTACTAGACGGACACACACACGCACACGCACACGCACACGCACACACACACACACACACACACACACACACACACACACACACACACACACACAGAGAGAGAGAGAGAGAGAGAGACACACACGCACGCACGCACGCACGCGCGCACGCACGCACGCACGCACGCACGCACGCACGCACGCACGCACGCACGCTCGCACGCACGCACACACACACAGACACACACACACTTTACTATAGATTTATTATAGGTATATCTAATCTCTAATATTTAGGACTAATAGAACCATCAGCGGCCATAATGACAATAAATTAAAAGAAAAGAAGAATACTGCCTACATACAAAATTTCATGGAAATTCGTTCGTTAGTTTTTGCATTAATCGCGAACACACAATTTTTCTACAGATTTATTATATGTATAGAATATAGATGAAGAATACAGTACTTCGAGACATGTGAAGTCCACTAACACGTACCGGAGCAGTGCGACCAATGAGGGCATGCACGACTTTTTCTGCCACCAGGGCGGCGCCACTCAGGAATGACGTGTAATCAGATTTCATGGCGGGAAAGTTATATTATTAGAAAAGTGTAAAGATTAATGTTTCCTTTTGAAATATTTGTAATATTTTGTATTAATTATATCAGAAATGGATAAACCAAACAGGAGATATTACTAAAAGTAGAAGAATTACAAAAAGTTAATAATGTGTAAAAAATTAAAGAACACAGCTCTAAGGCAATATTTTGTGTAAACATATACGTACACTAGAAATCGCTTTTTTTTATTCAAAACACAACTTTTCAATGACTGTGACACTGTGTGGCCATCTAGGTGACTAAAATGTTCACCTCAGTCCCAACTAGCGACATCTGGTAAGGGTAGAGGTTATTATCCCTCATTGCTTACAAAATGAGATTGGGAGTACCTGCGCTTAACATTAGAACGTCTAGGATATAGTATGTAACTTTTATAAATAAATCCCAGTATACACACGCCTTAATAATTTGGTCGTGGCGTTGTCTACACATGTGTGCATGCTTGCCAGGAATATGTTAAATGACATTTCCTTGTTTGTATGATTAATGAATGAGCAATGATGTACGCAATACGACTGGGGAATGAATCTTTACAATAAAATTTTTAAATGAAAATGATATGTACTAATAATTATTATTTAAATTTTTTATATTTCATTTATTTACTAACTATAATAGCCGATCAAAAGTGCACTGCTGAACTTAGGCTTACCTACCAGCAATTTATGGGATATGAGATATCGAATTTTTTTTTAATAGGATAAGGATGACACAACACGAGCACTCAGTCCACTTGATGATAATGTTGCGGCCCACAGTCATCTACATCTACCCTCGATTAAGAATCAAAATGCAGATGCGTTGTCACCCCTGACTGGACTAAGATGGAACGCCTGGTTTCCAGTAAAATGGGTCTTCGATTCTATTCACTCATCATACGAAACACAGTAAGTAGCATTTAGCTGCTAATTTACGCTGGTATTCTGTGAAAGTGTGGTCCTTTCCCGATCGAGGCGACTCGTTCGTGCTACAAGTATAATATATAGCTGTAGTGTGACTCTACCACGTAAAAACGGCCTCAAACCAAAATACGGAAGCGTTGTTATCTAATTTATGTGAACTTAATGCTGTTAGCTAGACTTTACAGCTTCATCGGACTCAAATCGGAGGCGTTGTCAATCAATTTTTATTTTTATTTTTTTATCAATATTAATTCTGCGCGTTGTCAACCCTGATTATTAAGATAGAATGCCTCAGCAGTAAAAAACTGAAAAGAGTCCTCAATTCTCGATATTCATCTTTATATAATGTCAATGTAATATTTTACACTGATCTTCCTCGAGAGCGTGATCTTTAACCAGTCGAGTCAACTTAGTACAACTGCAGCGTCACTCCACAAACAACTTACAAAGTTTAGTTAGAAACGAGTTTATTTAGCACTTTCAAGTATTTACAATCAAAACTATTTTAGTACTGAAAATAATATTGTATAAAAAGGATGTATAAATAAGAAAATACTTTTTAATAATATTAGAGGTTATCGTTAAGTGGTGGTGATGGTGATGGCATTACCAACCTCTTTTGATATTTCCAGACGATTATAGGAAAAGTCAAAAAAGATCTTATGGTTTATGTAAGACTATTTCAATTTCAAGATTTCTGTGGTAGAGCCATGCCAATATAGTTGTAGCTCGAATGGATCGGCTCGAGCGGGACCGACCCGCTCTGACTTTTTTTTTACTTATTATAAGCCAGTGCTTGACCATAATCCCACCAGGTGGTAGGTGGTGATGTAGCCTTAGATGGTAAATCGCACTG